GGGCCCCCCCCCCCCCCCCCCCCCCCCACCTATCACTTAAGCAGGGAGCATGACCTGTCAGGGGATGCATCAGCACTCTCAGGCGATGCACTGCAGCCCTGTGCACACCCTACAAATCACCACTGAGTACAGGAAAACCTAGTTTTAATAACTTTTCTGTTCATTACTAGAAATATTGATGTTATAAAAATGTAAGAGCTGTGAAGAGGTAGAGAATAGATACTGAAATCAGGATTCAAGTACCTTGACAAATGTTGACAGGGGGAAATATTAAATGAAAACAATTGGCATTGGACCCAACAAACATACTGTACACTCCTACTTTCAGATTTAGCATTTACTACCAAAGGTTCCCTTCTAATTTCTGTGGGATTACTCATGGTTCTGACCTAAGGCACTTTGCAATTATACTGCTGCATAATCTACTCATCGCCAAAGAGTTACAGGGTTTGAGATTCAAAAGGAAACAGGCAATCGTATTACTTCCTCACATGTATGATCAATACGTTAACGTAGTGTATAAATCAATTAAAATTATCAATAAATATCTTGAGCATTAATTATTCCTTTTATGGAAAAAGAATGGTTGGAAATAAATGTGGTTGAAATGTTTAACAGTAAATGATGTCACACTAAAGTGGTCTTTTTTGAAAATGGAAGTTTTAAGAAGAGATATGTTAACATCTATAAAATATTTCATTTTCATGAAAAATGATCAAGGCTGTTTTTGTCAGTTTTAATAAACAATGAGATACAATCTTTCAGGAATTATCTTCAAATGAACCAAATGATGCTTAATACTGATTTCAAGAATGATATCAATAACTTCTTTTATTGAAGGTATCATCAAAACTGTCTCAAAAACTTTAACCAAAAATGGAAAATTGTACCCCAAGAATAAAAACAGCTTTGAATTTTTCCCTGTCTCTGTTTTCCATTTTATACCACCTCTAGTTGTAGTTATTATTCACAAAATTAAATATCCTGCACTATTTTCCCTGTATTCCAGCTTTATGATCATTTTGTGTACCTACACAGAGTCCTACATTTTTATCGTCTATTTAGACCAGTGATTCTCAACCAGAGTGCTGTGGCACTTTTGGGTGCCATGCCAGCCTTTGAAAGATGCCACAGGAAAAGAGGGGATAAGCAAAATAAGCTTGAGGAGATAACTGCAGGCACTTCCCTTCCATGCACTCCTCCTCCCCGCAGCTCACTGCTGTGAAGGTTCTTCTCTGCCAGCTGTTCCTCCTCCTTCCCAACCTCTCTTCAAGCAGATAAGCACCATAATAAATAAATTAGTTTTTTTAATGGAGTGCCACTACTTCACAAAAATTATACAGGGGTGCCTTGAGTCTAGAAAGGTTGAGAACTACTGATTTAGACTGTTAGCCTGTGGGGGACAGAATACTTTTTGTCATGCTCTTTCCAACATTAGGCATGCAGGCTGCTTTCAGATGTTAAAAAAAAAACCCCTGGCACTTTTCTTTAAACTTGACACACTTCTGCTCTGAGCCCACCATACATCCAGAAGAGGCATAGCATTAGCTGGACCCAACTTGCCCAATGTCTGTATAGACTGGGTGCTTTAATGAGGCTTTTTTGGAACTTTTATCAGCTATTAAAGTGGCAAAAAGCCACTGCTGAAAGCAGGAGCTGGGTTGAACTAATGCACTGCTTCTTCTAGTAAAGCACCTCTTTTTTTGGCAGCCATTGTATTGCAGATCAAAATGAGGTACTGCCATTCTGAAAACACTTGTTGATGGTTTCTTTGAATGTTAAATTTGCAAAGCCTAATAAAAATACTTCTTTCTTTTATATTAGGTTACAAACATCTTTATAGAGACATAAGATCAGTATCGTCACCTGTATTAGCTTACTGACTTGGAAACTAAGGGAAAGCATCTTTAAAAGATTTGCAAAATATTACAAGCTAAACAGTGGCAGAACAAGGAACTACACACAGACTTCTGTTGTTCATATAACTAATGCTACTTCAGTCAATATGAGAAAACCTGCTGTTTGTAAGAAATGCAAAGTGGAACACACGGGAAATGTTTTGAAAGATTCAGTGTATAGGTAGTTAAAATGTTATCTCCAATATAGACAGCAGTTGATGTGAAAATGTAAATGATATGAGGCAATTTTAAATTCACAAATAGGGGGAAAAATACTGAAATGATATTACACACATACTATTAGGCTTCTTATAAGAAGTGACTATAAGCCAGTCTGATCTGACTTGCAGCAACTTACATTTATGTGACCTTACTGACTTCAGTGAGATTATTCCTGATTTACATCAGGATGAAAGAAATGAGAACAAGGTCCTACATAAATGGTTCCACTGGACTCACTACCAAAAGCACAAAACAGTATTTTCTTACTGCTGTAATTGGAACAATCTGGATTTTGATCAGTTAATAATTAAACATGGATCACCCAATCAGATGAAGGAAGTGTCACAGCAGTTATGACTGTAACCTTACAATACAGAACAAAATCAAATATTGTTGTAGAGTTTATTCACGTATTGAAATCAAAAAAGCTATCAAACCAACTAAGGCACTGGCCAGTCAAGTAAACTGGAAAAGGAAGAGGACGAGCTTGCAGGAAGGCTGTATTTCAAATGTGTAGATAACACTGCCCATAGATGTTCAAGCACATATTATCTAAGACTGCTGTACACTGAACAAATTGTTTTAACAAACCTGTAGTTTATATTTATATATAAAGAATTATTGAATAACATATATATTTTTGGCCATAGAGGGCAGGACTAGAAGCAATGGTGTCCAGCTTCAGCACAGGAAATTTAGGTTGGAGATTAGGCAGAACTGCCTGATATAGGTGGTCAAGCCTTGGAACAGGGCACCTAGAGAAACCGTGAAATCTCCTTCCTTGGCAATTTTCAAGAGCAGGTTGGACAGGCACTAAGCTGCAATGATTTAGTCAGGGATAATCCTGCCTTGAGCAAGGGGGTGGACAAGATGCCCTTGTAAGGTCCCTTTCAGTCTTCCTTTCTTATGATCCTATTATATGCACTCTCTATCTTAATGCATTGTTTGGATAACCAAATTCTCCAACCATATGTTTTCAGTAACCCATTGGTATAGGTTTGGAACTAAATTCAAGATCAGGGTAGGAGGAAATCCCTTCAAAATAGATGCAGAAAATATAGTGATAATTTTCAGCTGGGTTCTGTTAAACTATATACCAAGAACTGCCACGTGCCTAAACCAGTAGTGGTTCATTGTGAAAGTGCATCTGTAAAAAAATGGGCTAGCCCCACAGACATCAGTAGAGTTGCATCTGCATGATATTAAATGAAGCCCTTGATTTCTACAAACAGTAATGTGAACAGATACCAGGATGCCAGTACAATTTCTGTGCCTACCAGCCTGTGCTAACAATGTGTGATCACAGACCATTAGCAAGCTTGTCAGTGCCTATGAACCCATGTGTTTGAGACAAAAGATTTTAGATATGAGTCTACAAATAAGTTATTCACACAAATTCTCTAGAAAGGCTATTCTTTCATGAGTGGCCTCCAGGATCAGAGAATAACTATTTCATGCATGGTCCCTTCCTGTTTTTTAAAAACATAAATCTTGAGTGATATTTTCCCCCATAATTTACAATAGATCAGTAAATCTAAATTTGATTGAATTCCTGTTTGAAAGCCTTATTTTCAAGAATTAAGATAGCAGACCAGTACCTTCTTCACAGTGTGGTACTTGAAATCTATTGCTGTTCTACAAGGGTACACATCCCTGAGATGCACATTCCTTATGCCAAACAAATACTACCTTGTTTAGTATGACCTACTAAAAGATTACAAGGCTGCTGGAAACCAAGTTTGCAGGGCTGATACCAGCAAAATTATATAACCCATTTTGGAAAAAAAAATTTCAAATCTGGAGTCTTAAAAGGCCTTGGGGCACTACTGCAATACAAATAATAACAGCTGTTTTTAAGATAAATATCAATTATTGCAGTGCTACACAATTGAATGGGACACACTCTTCTGGCTTTTTCTTCATATAAGCAAGTAAGAACTCATTACATGTGTTATATAGTAAAAGTGTTCATTACATTTTCAAATGAAACTTTACAAATAGCCTAGGAAAAAAATGTCATGGGCGATAATACATATTTAAAACAAACAGGAAACTAGGAAAGCAGAAATTCTTACCCTAAAAAACTCTTTGGTGGAGCCAGAATCTAATGTCCCATAAGCAATTTCTGTTTGCTTAGACAGATCCTCTGCGCTTTCAATGGGAGACACCATCCTTTCAACCGTCAGGAATGCAGCTAAGTTAGCCGTGTAGGAGGAGATTATGATCAGGGTAAAGAACCACCATACACCTCCAACAATGCGCCCAGACAGGGATCTAATAACAAGTATGAAATGGATTTGTAAAATGAAATGAATGTCCTAAAAGGAACAAAAGTTATCAGTTTTATGCAAATGATGCATTATACTACAGGGAAGTACTTCAGGTTATCTTGTACAGCTGCTGTGCATACTAATCAAACAGGAAATGAATGTACTTTATAGTTCTCTTGAATGAGCGTGTAAGCTCCACTACATCTGGTGAACTTTGCTGAAATCAGGACTCCAGACTTGAATATACTTTACAGAGAGTTATTGCCTCAATTCTTCAGAATTGTAAATACGCTGAAATGAAACTGTTCAAATTATAATGCGTCATATTAATGAAAAAATAAAAAAAAACTTTGCATGCTGTTTCATGTGAACTCCTGGGTATGACACACAAAAACATGAACAAGAGTCATGATATCAATGCAACTGTATTTGCTGAAAAACCAAAAGAGTGCTTTAAAAACTGAGTGGCTGAAAACTGCTTATTTTTTATGAAACATTCAAACACAGACTGACAAACACCAACTTAGGCTGTTGTGGATATTCTATGCTTAGGCAACATTACTTGCAGCAGGCTTTGGCCAAGTGGATTTCCATAAATGAAATAATAAACCTAACTCAGTCTGAAACTGCAATTATTTAACCAACTGGAGAATGGACATGAAATGATCAAACTGTAAAAGTTGACAAAAGTACTGTTCTTAAATAATAATCTGATACTTTAACTGCAGCAGGAGGGCTGTTATGAATCTTTGTTTTGCATTTCCTGCTAAAGAAAGAGAAAAGAAAAGAAAACTCAAAACATAAAAAACAGTTTAAAGCTCACCCATGCAGTGACTTTCAAAACTGAAATATACAATATATCTGTGAATGCTGTCATCTAATCAAATTTCAACCTACTTATTAAGGAAGCATTTAAATTTTCCCATGTATTAAAGTATTTTATCCATATTGAATACATAAGCTCTGTAGAGGTGCTTAATTATTTGGCAGAAATCTAAATACATTTGAAGCCCACAACCCAAGAAATACTTGACTAGTGAATCTTAAATACATATTTTGTAAAATAAAATGTCTTAATCATCCAACCTACAGTTGCACAAATGAGGTTTCAAGATAAGTCATAAAAACTATATCAAGTGAAAAAAAATCTTGGAGTTTAGAAACCCAAATTATTTCTGTAAGTTGATAAAACTGGGAACAGAACTAAAAGGAAACAATTCTGGACAATTATTCTTATGATTGTTACTCTGAAAATAACCCAATAGCAAGAGAAACATGAAAAGACTAATTCTGAATGTCTGGCCATATCTACATAAGACACTGATTGCACAGTCATTAATGTGCAGTCATTTAGTACTTGTATAAGTAAGTACTTGATGACTGCGCAGGTTACTGTGCTGTAGCATCAACAAACATCTTATTTATGACAGTAGGTTGTTGCCATGCAATGCTACTGCTCAGTAGTATTGGGCTACTATGCAGTCAGCATCTCATGTAGACATGGCCCCTATTTCCAAGACAGGACTCCATTATTGTGTGTATTATAGAAAAGTCAATGGTAGGATATGATCTAGAACAATAGTGCCCAACCATTTCAACCTGCAGGCTGGATGGACATTTCCTGGTACCTCTATAAGTACGGATCCAACTGGTGGACCCAAACAAGTCTGGGGGGTAGGTGTGGCAGGGCCTGATCTGGATATGCAGAGGGCAGCCGAGCCCTGGTCCAGCTGCCTGTGTGAGGGGGAGGGGAGGAGAAGAGGGTGTTGCCTGTCCTGTACCTAGCTGCACAGAAGTGGGAAATGGCAAGGCCATGACTCAGAGGTACAGGGCAATGGGGTTTGAGCACCTCTGGTCTAGAATATATTGCTTAAAAGAAGCATAGATGAGAAAGGCCAAAATCCCTTCATACAGTTCCTAGATTTGACATTCTTTTTTCTCAGCTTTCAAAACTCAGTGATCATCCTGGAGCTCTTTACTTTTATAGTAACAATTAACGTGTGATTACATGATAAACATTAGGTATTTGCAAGACACCTAGCATTTTATGTCCCAAGTAATACAAGTGCTGATTGTATGCTATGTATATTGAATTGACAACTTCCTATGTAACTGCCAATTCTTAATCTATAGACAAAATAGATCATCTTTGATCCCTGTGAGGGATTCCCAAGACACAACTCACTGCTTTGCCCTGAATCTGGGAGCAGCACCTACAGCTGTTAATTTGAACAATCAGACCCCTGAAGTCCTGGGAGGAGCAGGAGCCTGACCCTGTGAGACAATGGCCCTGGCAACATCTGTAGATGCCAATGAAAAGCAGAGCCCACTCCAAAGAACGTCTATTTATAGCCCTAGTGTACACCAGGCTTCAGGTAGCCATCCATGTATAAAGCCTCATAAATTTTCAAGAACTATTGGCAACTTGACTACACAAGTGCTCCCACTGTTGTCCCTACTGACTGAATCAAAATGTAATAAAAATGGTGTTAAATTTTAGCACAAATATCCCTGATAGAAAAGGGAAGTTTAGATTAATTAGTGCATTGTATGAAACCAGAATGAGGAGCTCAGTATAAGAATACCAGTTATCTAACTGAAGTGTTTTCAGCCCTATTATAGTTTAGATAATAAGCACATAAAAAAGCAAATATTTTAGAATATTTACTTTGTTCAATAAAGGTTATGATTAGAATAAAAAAGAAGGTGATTTCAAATACTACACTTGACATACACAGTATTAGTATATCTCAAAAGTTATCTTAAACTGCCCTGAGCCTTTCTAGGGAGTGCAGCATAAAAATCAAATCAATAAATAGGGTAACTTAGGGTGGTGATAATGTACTAGGGTAACCACCCTAGTACCTTAGGGTGGTGATAATATACTAATCTTATTCTGGAAAGAGGTCTTTCAATTTTAAAGGAGGTATACATAGGAGGTTTTGTGCTTTAAAACCCAGAAAAGTGAAATAGATGTAAGTCGTCATTTTACATTAAGCTATTAGAGGCTCAATTAGTTAAAAACAGCCTTGTGGCCAATTGGTATATTTGCACACAATCAAAAATTAAAAATCTATGTTTAGGAGCAGAAACAGATCACAACTAAAGCAGGTACTTTATGATTTAGGCTAATTTGGTCTTTCCTCTCTGCCTCATGTTTCATATATTATTACTCCTCTGGAAAATGTCTATGACTACTCCTAAGAAAGCCAGTGTACCTGCCTTTGAATGTTATACACTCCCCCAGAATAAGAAAATGCCTTACTTCCATAGAATAGTAGCTTATAATGTTGCCTTTCTCCATTAGACAGCAAGAACTGCCCATGGGTAATGTCATTTTACAGAATGCCCAGAGGATGCCTGATTGAATGGTTACTTTAAGTATTTTTGCTGTTATTTATTCAATAATTAATAATACCTTAAATATCTTTTGTGTGTAAAAAAATGTGCTAGAGCACAGAAGAGCTCTAATATCACTGTGGTTATCCTGATACCTTCTAATTTATTCTTGTTCAGATGAAATTGTTCATACCTTATGGCAAGGTTATCCTACTAGTGGCCTGTGGGCTGCATACAGCCTATACAAGGTTAATTTTTGGCCACCAGACTCCCACCCAGCCACTGCTCCCCCCATGGCTCAAGCTTCAGTAGCAGTCATGGTCTCAAGGCTTCCCCTTCCTTCCTATAACATGGGCACCCAGGCAGCTCAGGGCAGTGGGGCAGCCCACAGCTGAAAAGCAGAGAGTGAGGCTGCATGCATGGTGCAGGCAGAGCTGCCTAAGTGATATGTGTCCTGTGAGTCCCATGGTTCATGCTGGTGTAACCCACACAGCTCCTAACTACTTAGAAGTTGAACAGCCCTGCCTTACTGCATAACAATAATGACTACTGGATACTGATCCATTCCCTGTCCCACATTCAGATAAAAGAAAGCCAACTCACTCTGGAAGTTCCTCTGATTTAATTCCCACAAACGCAATTGCCCTGTTTCAGTTGTTCCCATAGACCCCTGATTCAGCAAGGCACTTATCCACATACCAAATTACTTTGCTGAATCAAGGCCACAGCCACTTGCACACAAGGGAAATAGATCACTTAATGAACTGCAAAGGAATAAAACTAGGGGGAAGTAAAGTGCTTTACATTTGTCCCAAATAAAATCCCTCGAGAACCAGTGAGTGTATTTCTAAAGAAAGGGACCTTCAAAGTAACTTAGCAGGCTTTTTTTCATGATTCCTATAAAACTGGGCCATATAAAAGCAGTGCAGGTTTGTAACTATTTCACATGGAATTAGAGGCTTCAGATGACTTAATTCATTTTCAGTACACTCCCTCTAGGAAAACAGTAGGTTAAATACTAGGTGAAATGGTATGTAAAGTAGATATTGGAGGGAATGTGCTGCTTCTGTAGCTCATAAACAGTGTTACCCTTTTTCCCATTACAGTTGCTGTGAACCATAGGCACTGTTAACTGTAAAATGGGAATATGCAGCAAAAACACGGTACCCCTCCAAGAAGGCATGAAATGATAGGAACCTTATGCATTTTGCGGTCTCTACATGGTGCATATAAGTTCACTGAGTTGTGGTAATATAAATCTAATAGTTAGCTGGCCAGCATCAGCAGCCATTTGGTTTCTATTCCATGTACAGTCACACTCTTTAGAGAAAAAGGAACTAGTGTCTTCTTGAGAGTGAATATATATGCACCATGAACCTCCATCTGAGACCAAAAATGCACAAAGTTGAAATGGGCGAGTAACCAACCTTGGCGAAATATCGCATCCTTGCTGCATAAAGGCACCAAGGGAAAACCAGAGACTATTAAATATCCCAAATTCATTAGTTGATTCATTACTTTGTGTTTCTCTTCCATCTTCAAAGTCCTCAGTGTGCCACTCGTATGGGCTAAATCTGCTGACCAGGAATAAAACTACACTGACCCCAATGTAGGCAAAAACAATGCACATCCATATCTCATATGCTAAGGGATCAAGAAATGAAAACACTCCTGGCTTGGACTTCTGAGGCTTCTTGATCATTATTGATATCCCGAGGCTCATAAAGGGCTTTGAGAAGTCAATCACCTCTTCTCTCACCAGTGTTATAGTTAATGGAGCAATTGCAATATCGGCTTTCTGTAAAGGAAACAGAACAAGGTAATAATAACTGATGTGATAGTTAGCAAGAAATGGCTTTGTTCCTATTGTGTTTCACAAATGAAAAACAGGACAACAGGGACACAGATAATAGTCATTTCACTGAAAGTACCCTATTGAGGAGTAAACTGTTTAGTAACTTACAGCTGAAATTCCTCTCAGTGAAATTTATACAACCATCTGGTTAGACTGTTCTCAGGCTTTCCCTTTTAGACATGATTTTTCAAACTTTACAATATTCAAATATGTTAGCAAAGCATGTTCCTTTCATCTGCAGGAAAGAAAGCTGAAATATAGACTCTCTTTCTCATTTACATTTTTTTAATCTAACTCCATTCTTTAACCTTGAACATTCTTCCTGTCAAAGAAAATATGAATCAAGCCAGTTTTCTCCATACTCAGGAGAATAAAAATAATCCCACAACTTCCATCAGTCACAGTTATTGACGGTATTAAAAAGGTGGTCTTACCCCATAAACAAGCTCGCCAACCATCCCATTCCAGATTTTCGTGTCTGCGTCCCTTGCCCCATACTTGCCATCTCCAACTATTGTGAGCTTGTACTTGAAGCCACAATGCTTAGCAATTTCTGAAGCTAAGTCCACACAGTAGCCTTCATACCGTTCATTTCCTTCAAGCATCTCATGATTTTTCTTCATCATGACATATGGGGATTCCTGCACAGAAATATTTTGCTTTAGCTACTCATTAAAGATAGAGTTAATGTAGGCAATGCACTTCTTAGAAAAATATGTTTGCTTTCTACAGGAAAAAAAGAAAAAAGAAATCTGACATGTTTCATTCATAAATGGTTTAACTTCTTAAATTTGTCACATATTATTAAACATGTTCTATACAGCAAAGCTTTAGATCTATATGCAAATATCAATACTTGCAGGTGTAATCCCTCCTGGAAATGTATTAGTAATTGCCATGAATGTTAGTTATAATTAACGTATTATAAGGAGGCAAGAATACATTGCTTGCTTCTCTCAATTCTTTTGTTGTTAATGCTGTAATATTTTAAAACGTTCTTCCCTCCTACAACCCCCAAATCTGTTGCAATTTTTTTAGGCACTAAATATATTGAATAACTATGCAGAAGAAATCAAAAAAGTCCAGACAGTGGTCTACGGCTCCTAAGTGAAATTCTTAACATCCAAAAAACGAGTGACAATCATAAGTTCACAATACAAGAATTTGTCCTTTCTTCCCTTATAAGTATCGGAGCCAGAACAGTTCTCTTTAGGCCTGGGATCAATGTATAATGATAAAGAAGCTGTGTAAACAAGCTAACATTGCTGCTATATAACAGAACACAAATGTTGCTCTAGTAAATTGATATAGAATATGAAAATGAATGTTCATTCCATCACTTGGGCAGAGAAGTTCATAAAGCTCTAAAGCCTAGAAGCAGTCTTTTTTATGGTTTAGCAAAGTCTGTCTGCATATGGGCACAGAGACTGGAGTTTAAGAAAGAAAATCCATTCAACCAGCAGACAAAGAGTTCTTTGAAATCATGTAATTGGTCACTTGTGTTGGCCAGAATGTTTGAATCCCTGCCATTTACCATTAAAAATATTTTATTTTTCAATACAAATATATACATCATCCTTTTTATAACAGCAGAATTTAATGGTACCAGGAATCTTCTTTATGTTCCATAAAGAAGTTTTTTTTTTCACAACTTTCAGCATTGTAGGGATAAAATGGAAGAACAGTTAACTTGTGAATCGACAATTCACCTTAACATAGAATGCTATTTGACACAAATATGTTTAATTACCAATATAGTGGTGACAATAATAGTCTTGTTCTCTAGTCCTGAAGATTCATTTCCAAGAGGACCATCAATGGGATTCACAACCATTTTGTCCACTTCACTCCAGTATCCAATCTGAAAAAAGTTTGTACTATGTATAGATGCCAATGAACGTCCATATGATACATACAGCAAATTGTTATGTTTCAGTATAATTTATCCTATCCGTTCCAAATATGCTAACACAAACTTACAGTAGCTACAAACATGCAAACACTATACAGTTAACAAAAACAGGAACACGCTGTAACCTTATTATACAGGACCAAATGTTTTGCTATTAATTCTCCTACTGTAACAGTTGATTTTAGCTATATTTAATCAGATCTTGATATAAATGATATTCTACACTAATGTAAAGGATAGAAAGGACTCCAAATCAGGAAGAGATGTACACAGTTATTGCAACTGGCTTTTTCTCTATATGGCTTGGAAAAAGAGAAAAACAAATCACATTTAGAGAACCATAAATGAATACATTATTCTCTGAAAAAACTGTTCTGCATTGGAAGTTCACAAAATTGTTATTAGATGCTTTCTGCTTATTTGCTCCCATTTAGCTGCTCTAATTAAAAAGCAAAAAAAAACCCAAAAAACCCTTAAATTATATGTATAAAGTTGCATATATAGATTGACACAGTACTTACCAGAAATAAAATGTCATATTTATTAGAAACATATAGTGCACATTTTCTCTTTGCTCTGCAAGATTATTACAATATAACCATATGAATAAACATTATTGAAACATGCCTTTTAGTTAGCTAGAGCTTTTGACCACCTACCTTTTTGCATTGCTTAAAAGAGGAATATTGTTAAGGGCAGTTAGAATTAAAATTACCTTACGGGGACCTGTACTTTTGAGCTCCATGATGTTTATAGTATAGTTAATTCTCTTTCCATTCTGGTCAAATTTTATATTTCCTGTTAGACCTTCCACTTGAACCTATATGGGGTAACAATGAGAACAGCAGTAGAGTTAATTTTGTTATTAAGAAAACACACACACACACACACACACACTTTACATTTTGTATTTCCATACCTGGATATTAATACTAAAATAGTCTGCAATTAAACTTTTCCTAAATTCCTCATTTCATTACTCAGTAGTTTTCCTGAGGTGTTGGCAAAACCTATTGATGTTGATCTTGTAACTTTCTACCAATAAAATCTAGTTTGGAGCAGAAATATTATTTCAAAACATTCACAGAGCATTTAATATATGCATTAATTCGATAATACAATCTAGAGAGGCTACCTGCTTTAATGCCCTTTCTATTTCTACACCATGACCCCAGGGCACTGCTGGATTTGCAAGGCAGTCTCCAGCATTTCCTCTTCTGGAAATCTCAATCCTCTGTTTACGCAGATTACGGAAAGCTTCAGTCATTACTTGGACAGCATCATAGGTCAAAGCAGATGTATACTGAAAAGGATTGAATAGATTGCATTAGAAAAGAAGTTAAAGCTTCAACACTTCTTCCAAGTCTATCATTATTAATCCATTAAAGAGAAAAGTACATTAACATTAAAAGGAATGATAAAATATTCTTTAAGATTAGACTGTTTCTCTTGTCTCTGAGGGTTTCCTTTTTCCCACAGAACCACATACTTATTAACATCAGCATCAAGAAGAAAGGTCACTGTAGCACTAATGAATCAAAATTGGAAGTTTCCAAAGTTTGTCAAGGTGTAAGACACTTTCCCTCATGATAGGAACAGCATAACATCTCTCTGTTTGCAACTTGTGCGCGTGTTTTATGGAAAGCAATGTTTGAAGTTTAAAAAATGTATATTTTAATTTTTTTTAAAATTGACCTATCAGCTGCATCTGAGGAAAATATATAATTTTTATTACATTTTGAATGTAATAAAATAAAATAAAATAAATTCTCCTTGTTTATACATTTTAATAACAATATAAATCAGTATAAAAAGGTCAATGTGATGTAATGAGTTTGTGTAGTGCGTTACATGTAGATATAAGCATATCAGTAGAAGGTACTAGAAATGAATATAACCCTGGGTTATTGACTTGTTGGACCAGGGGTGGACAAAGTCTGGCCATAGGGGAATCCATTTCCCTGCAGGCCCTGGCCCCATCATTGCAGCCTGTTTCCATGGAGAACCCAGGAGTAGTGGGGCTGTAACAGTGCAGGGCGAGGGTTTTCATGGAGACCGGCTAAAGCAGGGCTGGCGGGGCACCTGGCTGAGCGGGAGATGCTCCAGAGTCGGGGCTGGGGCCAGGATCTCGTGGCAGTGACAGTGTGGGCTGGAGCTAGGATATAGCTGCAATCTGCTGTCTGCATGCCCCAGGCAGGGACTTGCAGGCAGCAGATTGCAGCTCTGTTCAGGTGGGGTGAGCAGGCAGAGTTTTGCAGCTCTAACCTGGCTTTGGACCATGCTGTCACTACTGCAAAGTCCTGGCCCCGGCCCCGGCCCCGGCCCCAGCCCCGGCGCATCTTCCTGCCCAACCATATGCCTCACCAGTGCTGTTTCAGCCAGTCTCCATGGAAACCCTAGCCCTGCACTGTCACAGCTCCACTGTTCCTGGGTTCTCCACGGAAACCAGCTGCAGCAGTGTGGGCAGGAGCTGCTGGGAAATGGAGTCTAGTCACTGGCCCGATCTGCCATTTGGCCTATCCCTGTCATTAGATTATGTCAATTATCTAATAATCGTTAATCTAAATAAGTGCTAGCAATAAATGCTATCTCTAACAATTATGACCCTTCCTACTAAAGCAGCTATTCATATTTATGAAAACATTGTAAATTACTGATTATTGTGAGAACTCTTTGAGTAGGTGGTTCTCTAAAAATCTTCATCCCACATCCATAGATCACCAACTATTAATGAACCAGAGTTTGTAAATCCCTGGCTAAAAGCTGCATTTTTTTATTACAACATTGTATATTGGAACAAGGAATGTGTTTTTCCTCATGTCTTTTTCACTTTTGAGCAAGTCAGTGCTACACAATAAATAACAGTAAGACTAATAACAGCCGGATAACTTAATCCTTTGTTTTCCGACAGCTAAGTGAACTAGAGTCAGGTTTATATAGGCTGAGATGGATTTATCTAAACTGAATACAGTGCTCACAAGGAGGAATACCATCAATGTTTATCTACTGGGTTTATATGATATCAGTGCACACTTACGGATTCCAAATTATGAATACTAAAAAGGTAAATATATGTCATAACACACTGTAGTCTCTCTAACTGCATAAAACATTTTGTAAAAGTTTTTTTTTTCTTCTTTTCCCTCCCATTATATTTCCCTCTCCCCATTCCCTCCTTCCTCTGTAAAAACCCTTTAGAATTTTCCCCAGTTTTAGAAAGTGCGCTCTAGGCAGTAGCTAAACTGAAGGGGAGCAATCAGGACAGCAGCCCCAGTAAGGGTGCCAAAATAGCTAGCGCTACAGCTGCGGGTGGCCACACCACCAACCACCAGAAGTGCAGCCAGCACTGTTCCATGCACTGCCACTGCCCAGAGTATCTGTTGTTCTGGGTACTGTGCCAAAATATCTGAAAACAGGTTCCTTGTCCTGAAGATTTTAGACTCCAAGATAAGCCTTACACAAATGATAGATTTGTTCACTCACTCACTCTAAAAGTACATATATGTATGTACACCCACATTTCTAACTGTTTTTCTGATAATAAATGTATAAACTAAATGACAGCCATCCCTTTTGCCTCTTCAAACTACTTTAAGTTAATTCATAGCTTATTGGTGCAGTGTAAAGGTGGCTTTCAAGATCAGATGTGACGAAGATAGGATAATGTCCTTATAGGCCACTGAAGAGTAAGAAGAGGTAGCCTCCTCCAAATTCTAGTCCAAGGTAAGGCAAGGCAAGGCAAAAGTCCAAGGCAAGACAAGGAGTTTTGAATTGACACCTTTTGAGACATTTGAGAAGAAAACTACCAAAAGGCACATGTGTGACATAAATCTAGAACAAATCATTCCTAGGTGGTTACCTAAATTGAGTAGGAACATTAATGTTTACCAAATGCATGAACCAAAGCCAACATATGTATACCCTCATGTATATCTGTGTGCATTCTAGACATAGAAAGGTGGATTTTACATAAGTTTGCAAAATGTGGGGAGCCACTTTGGAAAAAGTGGACTATAATATAACTAGCTGCAGTTTCATAAATGAATGTAATGAATCCTATGAAGACCAGTAGAAGTTAAAAATGTATTCACAATAAGGCAATGAAGAGTGAAGTATAGGCTGTTTGCTTCAGTGGTTCTGGTTTTAATGAGAACTTTTCATTTGCTATCACAACCCATGCAAAAGACTTCTGTAATTGTAATCAAGGCATGCTCTGGCATTGAGGTCATTTTTGTATGCAACTTTTGGGTGATGTGGGAGAAAAAGAAGAGAATGCTCCTGTTTATTGAGATTCCATAAATGTACTGGTTAATACATTAACAATACAGACAATCAAGGCCAATTAAAAGTTTAGTCATTAGGTCATCATGCCATGACCTAGGGGATTCAGTCTGCATTCAAGCATGTGATTACAAGAAGGGGGTTATGACTTCGTTGAAGAAAATGCCAAACCATATTAAAAACAGCATGCTATTATAAAATACACGCACAAAATACAAGCTGAGTAAAGATAGCCATGAAAAATCAACATTTCCAGTGCCTGTATTACAGCATTCTGGTTAGGATTCAAAACAGGTGAGAACATGTTATTGACTTATCTGGAGATTAACATCCCACTAGTTTTCTCACACACTTATACTCTGCTGAAGTTGCATTTATACCCAGAAGTTCCCCTCTTTACCATTTTAGACATTTTAGACCATTTAGCCTCTCTTGTGTGAGGCATCGCTTTTGATTGCATTTCTACTAATTAATTTTACTACCATTTATGTTTCTATCAGTTACCGTAGGCCTTTTCATGACTAGGGGTTCTGCACCTTTCTGAAATATACCATCTGCAATTCCAGTTTTCCCCTTTAAAATAACAGTCATACTTTCTGAAAATGAATTTGTGATTTTTAGGGTTTTTTTCTTCAGCTACTCTGCTTTACTTGTTTGCTATTTTTCTTATAATCTTGTGCCTCTGTGTCACCTCTCTATTTTCTTTTGTTACCGTGGGCATACATCAAGATGCCTAAGCCTTACTAGGTCTTACCACTTCCTATGATACTTATGTTAAAGTTTTTATTTGATAAAATGGGTCTAGTGCAATTAAGTAAACTCTTACCTATTAGCTCCCTAATTATGAGTTATAATATATACTGTGAATATCCCTAAATCTATCTGAGTACTACAAAAAGGAAGTAGAAGATTCATTGCAGCTTATGAGGAAGGCTGAATTTTGGAGCCAAAACAGTGTAAAAAATGTTCCAAATAAGCTTAAAAGCAAGAAGACATTTTTTTCCCTATGTCTCATGATCTTTGGGTATTTGATTAGTTATCTATAAAATTTGAGTCAGCAATCCTGCTTTAGTATTGTTTTTTGAAGTATAGAGAGTAGGATGTACAGTTTTCTAAAGTTTTTAAAGGGCCTATGTATGATGATCTTACTGTCATTGGCTAAGCCACAGTTTACATGCAAAAGGTAATAAAAGCTTACTAGGAAACTTTTCCCATTCTCAAATGCAGTTATTCCATTTTATTTATTTATTTATTTATTTATTAGTTAGTGTTCCCCCCAGCATCATAAAAATAGAGAGGAAAAAAATCATGACTAGGGAAATGTGGTGATACTCACACGCTAATTGTAAATTTACTTGTACAAAACTTTGCATGCATGTATTATGTTTAATCAGAGGATTTCAAAGTGTTATTTTAGTATTTTACCTCAGTGTTACCTATGGGAAAACTGGCTGAACAAGTGATCTTGTAACATGGTCATTCTGCAGGAATGGTGGAACCAAAAACAGACCATATGTCTCCCAAACTTTTTCTAATATAAAATGTTTTCATGTCTAAACTAAGATCAGTGAAATTCAAGCATCAATATAATGGTTATCATGACAATGCAAAATATGGAAATACATATCAGCACATGTTGACAAAATTTGTGCTAGTACTATCTTGATTTTCTCACAGACTGGAAGCCTGATCATCCTCTCATCTAGGATCTGATCTTGTGCTATTGAAATCATTGGTAGTAATATTTGGAATTGACTAAGAGCAGTGCCAGAGCCCTATCTTACACTATTCCTATACCAGTCTAACTGTACTGACTTTTTCTTTTTGGTTTCCATTTGTCAGGTAGCAGAATCAGGCATTGTGTCTTGCATATGGCTGTAGTTTCCTTAAAAAAATCATTCCATGTAGGGTTTTTTTTATTAAAACTTAAAAGCAAATAATAGCACAGATGCACAAAGCATTCTCTAATATGCTCCAGGGGATGATGACTAGAAGCACTGTCTTGTTCATAGATTCTATTCT